TACATGCAGGCAATACACACATACACATAAAATAAAAATAATAAATAAAATATTTTTAAAAAATAACCCAGGGACTGGAGAGATGGCTCAGCAGTTAAGAACACTGACTGTTCTTGCAGAGGACCCAGGTTCAATTCCCAGCACCTACATGGAGGCTAACAACCATCCTTAACTCTAAGGGGTTCCAGAAGAATTCAACACCCTCTTCTGACCGCCATGGGCATTGCATGACACGGGTGCACTTTACATACATGAAAGCCATACATTCATACACATAAAACTAACAAATGAAATATTTTAAAATTCCAGTGTGGTGGTACATAATTGTAATCCTGACAGTTGGGAGGCTCAGGCAGGGAGGTCTGTGAGAGTTCAAGACCAGCCTGTGCAGCATGACTATCTCAACAAAACAAGGCAGATGAGAGCAGGAAAGCAGGAAAAGCAGCAGGAAGGCAGACCTCTAGGCTGGGTTGTGGCTACATGGTCAACTTGCATGAGGACCCTGGCAGTGTCGGTACCTTGGCCTAAATAATCACCTCTGGTTTTCAGACTTGATGGTGGCCAACTTTAGTTCTTTTCCACTTTTCCAGGGACTTGATTATCATTCTTCAGCAAAACTAAAGAAAGAAGATCTAGCAGACAAATGGACTTGAATCTGACAGTGATTGTGTTTACCTTTAAAATGTGTTGTTAGTATGAAATTGTCAATGAGAAGAACCCGGAAATGACAATTTTGTTTATTTCCACAGTGTTCAAAGAATTGCTTAGTAGGACTGAACAAGAGAAATCTGGTGTTCCTCATATTCCAAAAATTGCTGAAAAAAAAAGTAATCGCCATTCAATCCAAGATGTACCAGGAGATATTGAACAGGCATCACAGGAGAAGGGAAATAAGAAAGTTAAAGCAAACACCGTTTCAGGTGGAAGAAACAAAATCAGAAAAATTTTGGACAAAACGCGATTTAGTATCTTGCCTCCAAAACTATTTAGGTAGGTAATATCAGTCTTCGTTCTATGGGAATTTTCATATTGGCTGTAAAGCTTTTTTATTGAAGGGAAGGGGATTTGTGTCACTTGGTTTTTATACAGCTAATATAGCATAAAATCTTCAAGTAGGACATAAGAAAAATTTAAAATTTCCCCCATCAATCTCAAGACATATCTGTTGCTACTAGTTATTCTCACCTGAATTCTAATGATCAACTTTTTAATCTTTGGGTTTTGTTTTGTTGAGACAAGGTATTACTATATAGCACTCATACACATGGCTAGAATACAAGAGTCTCCTGCTTCAGCCTTCCCAGTTCTGTGTTTATAGGTTCCCATGCCCAACTTAAATCAATCTTGTGTTTAAGAAATGGGCTATCACCAGGCGTGGTAGCACATGCCTTCAATCCCAGCTCTCGGGAGGCGGAGGCAGGCAGATCTATGTGAGTTCAAGGCCAGCCTGGTCTACATACTGAGTTCCAGGCCAGCTGGGGCTGTAGGGAGACCCTGTCTTAAAAACACAAAAAACAAAAACAATGAACTATCACCAAACTATGGAATACCTAAAGGTTTTATGTGTAAATGAAGGTTTCTAAAATGGTGATTGAATTGGTCCACTAAAGTGTTATGGTTTGGATTCACTCAGGATAATATTAGTTTCCTAAAGCAGTTTCAGAGTCCTAAACAAGTACAGTATCAGCATAGCACAGTACTTAGTACTTGTGAATAAAACACATAATGCCATTTCATATTTTTTTTTCAGTAATTAAAGTTCTCAGACTAGGGTAATGGTTCAGTCATAGGGAAAGGTTTTGCCACTCAAGCATAAAGCCCTGAGTTTGGGTCCACAGTACCAGCCTCCTGAGAAGGCAAGCTCAGCGGCTAGCACCTGAAATCCTGACTGGCTGGGGAGACCAGGGACGGGCAGAGCCCTGGCCTGGGAGCCAGGCTAGCAGAACCAGTGAGCTCTGGGCTCCAAGAGTAGAGTGTGGAGCAGTTGGGGAAGACACCTGATGTCACCCTGTGGCCTCTACATACATGCGCACACATGGGTGTGAACTCACACACCAAAAATCAGAAAATGTTCTTCTAAGTTCTACTTCTAAGCAGGGAAACAAATTTGCTGTTCATTTGACTTGGCCTTTGTAGACACGATAAGCCTTTGCTCCTAATTGCAATCGTTTATTTCTAAGTGACTGCTTTCATAGAGGGGTGTGATTGATGAAAATCAAACTGTAAAAGAGCAAAATTTGTTATTATCGTACATGCTAGCACACACTGAGAAAAGGCTTGTAACCAGTGCAGGTTGAGTGGAGAGAATATGGAGGGGTTAGCCCACACTGAAGACATCGGGGAATGTTCGAGATAACTAGAAGTCACTGCACAAAAGGCAAAAAATCAGGGACCAGAAGATAGAAAAGCAACATGGATTGTTCCTTAATGGGTAATGTTTTGAGTTCCTCTTCTAGTGGGTTTAGTCTGAAAAGCATACATTTTGGGACTAGAGAAATGACCAGTGGTTAAGAGCACTGGCTACTCTGTAGAGGCACTGGAATTCTGTTCCTAGTACCTACATGGCAACTAACAACTGTCCGTAACTCCAGTTCCAGGGGATTAGATGCTCTCCTCTGGCCCCTGTGGGAATTGTACAACATGGGTGTGATTATATACACTCGGGTGATACACTCATACACATAAAGTTATACATCAGTTTTATCTGATTCTCATTGTGACTGGAGGCATAGGTTGTGACACATGTCATCTTAAACCAGAGAATGCCATAATTGGAACTCATTTTAGCAATGTTAGAGTCCCATTCTAAAGCAATGCCATGTCCATACTATTTGGAGAGTGAGAATTAGTTACTGGTCGTGAACCCTGTGCTCATGGCATGAGACATAGAAGTTGAGGTCACCAGGAGCAGGCAGCTGAATGTTTCCCATATGTTCACTTTGTTTCATTACCAGACAAAGAAAAATCTAGCAGAAGCAGGTTTATTTAAATTCAGATTAGTTTTTTGGTTTTGGTTTGGTTTTTTTTTTTTTTTTCATTATTAAGCAGTATCCATTTCTTGAATCTTGTAATTTGTGTGAGCAAATTTTTGTCTCAAAAAGACCAAAAAAAGGAGCATTGACACGTGAATGGAAGTGTGCTGTGCTTAGAAATGTCTGTCTGCCCAGGTAACCTCTTCTAGACACTCAGTATAAGTATAGTAAAGCATGAATCCCTTCAGCCACCAACATAGCAAAAGATTGGATGTTTTAGAGCCATAGATGTTTCTGAGGCCCTTTTTGTGATGGGGAGAAGCTAATTTGCCCTTGCATCTGTCAGACTGGGCACTCGGCATTTTTTAGTATGTATGTTATGTTTCTCGGCACTTAACATAATTTAAAATTAATTGAGGGGACTAGAGAGATGATGGCCCAGCAGTTAGAGCATGGCTGCTCCTGCAGAGGACCCAGGTTAGATTCCCAGTACCCACATGGTGGCTAACAGCCATTCATAACTCCAGTTCCCCATTGGAGATCCAGTGCCCTCTGATCTCTGTGGGTATTGCATGACACAGGTACACTTACATACTTTCAGGCAATACACTCATACGCATATAAAATTTGGTGTTAGTGTTGGTTTTTGTGACAGGGTCTCCCAGTAGCCCAGCTGGCCTGGAACTCGCTATGTAGACCAGGCTCGTCTCAAACTCACAGAGATCTGCCTGCCTCAGGTATGTGTCATCATGCCCAGCAAAAAATAAAATTAATTGAGATTTTTTTTTTTTTTTCTTTTAGGGGATCAAAACTAGGGCCTTCCACATGCTAGGCAGGGGCTCCTCCACTCAGCCATGTCTCTAGCTGTTGGCCTTTTTTGAAATAGGGTCTCACTATGTAACTGGAACTGGCATAAAAATCATTGTGTGATCTAGGCTAGTCTCAAACTCATGAGCCTCATGCCTTATCTTCCCAAGTGCTAGCAGTGCAGGCTTGTACCACCACACCCAGCAAACAGTTTTGCTATTCAAAAATACACTGCCCTACCAGATGTTGGTACACATAAGCCTTCCATTTGGACAGTAAGGCAGAAGGTTGGTTAATTCAAGGTAGTCTGGCTAAATAGTGAGTTCAGTGAATGAGATCCTATCTGAAGAACTAAAAATCATTTAGGAAAAAGTAATCAGGGAGATGCCAGTCGATAAATAGGTAGAAAACATGATTTGAATGGTCCATATCAATACTTAATGTTGGGGCTGGAGAGATGGCTCAGCGGTTAAGAACACAGTTGTTCTTGCAGAATACCCAGGTTCGAATCCCAACACCCACATGGCAGCTAACAACTGTCCATAGCTCCAGTCCCAGGGGATCCAACAGCCTCTGTGGGCATTGCACGACATGGGTGCACTTACCTACATGCAGGCAATACATGCATACACATAAAAGAAAAATAATAAATAAAATTTTTAAAAAATATTTAATACAAGAATATGGTTTCAGATGATTGAACAACCTTTCTATAGAGCTGCGTGTTCCTTCTGTTGAGGACTTGCTATGTTACCCATGCTGGCCTTAAACTCTGGGATCAAGTGATTCTCCTCCTTCAACTTCTGAGGACCTAGAAAGACTAAAAGTCCAAGTACAGGAGACTGGTTAGGTAAATGGTACAGAAATGACAAGAGGGAGCATGCCAAGATGTCAATTGTGGGGCTAGAGAGATGGCTCAGTGGCTAAGAAGTTACTACTTTTGCACAGAACTGAGTTTGGTCCAGCACTCACATGGCAGCTCACAACTGTCAGTAACATAAGTGCCGAGAGATCCAATGCCACTTCTGGCCTCCACGGGCACTAGGCATGCACATGGTTTATATACATGCATACAAATAATCATAGAATTAAAAATAAATCTTTCAAAAATAGAGAAATATGTCAGTTGTGGGGGTTTTTTTGTAAAGTGCTAATAAGTTTTCTCTTCTTGCTGCCTTTTTTGTGTTTCCTGCCTAAAATATTTGGGTTTTTATTGAAATAAAAGATTTAAATAAATTTCATTTTATGATTGTTGAGTATCCTGTGTCAGGACTCCTTGGGAGAGGCATGGAAGACAGCTTCTGTTTCACCCTTGAGCAGTACTTACTCCATTAGAGTAGTTTTCAGAACATTGTCAGAATGTCTGTCTGTAGAGCACCAAGGCAAGAATGTAAAATAGTTGAGAGTAGGAAATTCTGAAATCCTAAACCGTCACACACTTTTAAAACGAAGACTTGTTCTTGAAAATTAAAGTGAAAGCTGGGCATGGTGGCTCATGCCTTTAGTCCCAGCACTCAGGAGGCAGAGGCAGGTGATTATCTGTGAGTTCAAGGCCAGCCTGGTCTACATAGTGAATTTCAGGCCAGCTTGGGAAAGAGACGGGGGAGAGGGGAGGGGGAGGGAGAAAAGAGAGGAGAGATTACTGATCTGACAGCTGTAAATTATGACATAACAATGTGATTTTTATTAACTTGAAAATATTTCACCTTTCAGAAACTCTTACTTCCCCCATTTAAATCGCTCAGCTTTTGTCCTGCCTTTAATCGCAGTTGCCCAAGTGGCATCGCTGTCTCATGCCCAGAAATACACTCCAAATGTCTTGTCAGTATAATTTTTGTTTGCTTTTAATGTTGGAGTAATTTTTCATGTGCATATTGATACTATTTTGTGGCCTTTTTAGTTTCCTAATGAAACCAAGAACTTTCGTTCTAAATAAATTTAGTGTCAAGGAACTAATTTAAGGAGTTTTTCAAAAATATCTTGTTTCTATTACTGCCTCACCTCTCAGGAGACTCTTTGGGTAAGAAACGACATAACTCTTTCTCAGATAGGCTTTATTAGTTCAGCTTTAAGCATGGATATTTTGTCAGTTGAATAGTGTTTCATTCCTGTCGTAGCATGGATTGTGCATGACAGTAGAGTGTCCATTTATACATGCTCATGCCCTAATTACCCTGGATTTTTGGTCTACTTATCTGAGTATGGATAGATAGTATTACATCTGACTATTACAAAACAATGTTTACAATCACTAAGAGATAATATTCTGTTCACATTGTCTGTAGTCTATTCCAATTTACTTCAACTGACAGGACTAATTGCCTTTCATAGAAAATTCTTAACTTTAGGACTGGGGACATAGCTTAGATGGTAGAGTATTTGCCTAGTTCCCATTAGCCTGTGGCTCCCCACGCAGCACATAAGCCATTTGTGGCAGTAGAATAAGCCCATTATCTCAACTTTGGAGGTAAAAGCAAGAGGAGTGTTAGTTCAAAGTCATTCTCCCCACACAGAGAATTCCAAACCAGCCAGGGCTCCAGGAGAATAACTTCTTTAAAAAGGTGCTTTCCTAAGCTGGGCGTGGTGGCAGATGCAGGCAGTTCTCTGAGTTCAAGGCCAACCTGGTCTATGTAGTGAGTTCCAGGCCAGCTGGGGCTGTAGGGAGACACCCCACTCCACCCCCCAAAAAAGGTTACCTGATTTGATGAATCTGGGTATTGGTACAATTGTTTTCAGAAATCAGTTAAAACTATTAAAATAGATGTTGATGCTTTATCTGAAATTAACTATCTGGGAGTGCTCCTTCTCTTAGCTAATCTTGTCAATACAAGCCTAATTACAGAGAGCTGGTTTAGGGTATGCATAATTAATTTTCAAAAGTATCTCATTCTCCCAAGATTAGTTTGCTTTTCCTCCCTAGGAACAAGTTCTGGGTTTTGTAGTACTTCCTTTGTTATGCCTGTCCTCTGCTTCTCATTATCAAGGATTTAAAATGGATGCTGTTCTCACTTTAATTTTGTTAAAAGTTCTTTACTCCAGAAAAATCAGAATCCTGTCAGGCATTCTGGTGCATGCCTTTAATTCCAGCAGAGGGAGGCAGATCTCTGTGAGGTCAGCTGGATCTCCATATCAAGGCAGCTAGGGTTTCAGGGAGACCCTATCTCAAAAAAAAAAGGAAAAAAAAGAATCTTACTTGTCTTTGTGCCAAAATGTTTGCCCAGTTTATCTGAATTAACCCTCACTGTGGTCTGTTGGTGTAGCTAATATTAGCTACTTTCACAGGTAAGGAAGCCCAATATCCAGCTAAAGAAAGAAATTTGTCAGAGGCAAACAGCTAAGATCATGGTCTGTCTGTCCTCAGCCTAAATCCTTTCTGTCATACCTTCCTGGCTCTCTCCTCCTGACCCTGCCTTTGTCTACTGTTAACAGTCATTGCTCTCCATTGCTTCATTTAATCTTTTCCATGATACTAGGTAAACCTCTGTGTGTACATGTACAAGGCAGAAAGCTGCACTGAGCAAAATGAGATAGGAACTAATATTCAGGAAGGTTCCTCAGCATAAGTCCATCCTGAGCTAGTGAGCTACTGTTTGGTCATTGGTGCTGATGGAAATCTTTTTTCCACTGCAGTCTTATAGTTTATAGAACAGTTTTACTTTAGAATTAACTAATATTTAGAGACACGTAAAGACTCACAGTGTTTCTGTTTTTTTCCTTTCAGTGGATTTAGTTACCTCTGTAGTTAGTGTTTGTATTTTAAAAGAAAAGTTTCTTGCTGCCTTAAATGGCTGACTTACCTTCTCTTATGATTCAGTTGTGGCATTTCCTGTGGCATGGCTCTGTATCACTGAATCGACACATTCAATATCAGATACTGGCAGATTGCAGGCAGTTATTAAACATTCTGATTGAGCTTATCCCCAAAACCAGTGGAAGCTAAATTCCTTTGTGATTAAATTATGAATTTTATTGTAATGTAATTTTCAAAAACATTTCATTGCTTATTTCTTCATTATAATTGCCTTTTTAGTTGCTGAATTATTTTAACTAATTGGTGAAAGCATCACTTTGAATTGGTTTTGTTATGCTTTTCTGCATAGTAAATAGAAATGTTTGCTATTAAGTACCATCTAATAGTTTACAGTGATATGTGATTTTCTTTTGAAGTGATGGAGGCCTGAGCCAATCACAAGATGACAGCATTGTGGGAACGAGGCACTGTAGGCACAGCCTGGCTATAATGCCGATTCCTGGGACGCTCTCTTCCAGCAGTCCCGATCTCCTGCAGCCTACCACCAGCATGCTGGACTTTTCCAATCCTTCAGGTGATGTTTCAGTGTGATTTCATATGGCCAAATTGTTTCCTGATATACAGATAGGGTCGAGCCTTGTGCAACAGATTATGGATTTGCTTGCAGCCTCTCACCTCTAGTTTATGGCTTCATGCAAAACAACAATGGGGGAAATTGTCTTTTTACCTAAACTGGAATGGTTAATTCCTTCGAAATTGAAAGTTCATAATAACAACACTACCTCATTGGTCTCTTTTAATGCAGTTAATCTTAGAATCTCTGAATGCTGAACTATCTTTGTAATTTTGTATCTTTGAAAGTCCTGGGTTTTTTTTTTCTTAACACCTAAATCTGAAGTTGTTTTTGTCATGGATTCTTAGCACAGCATCCCAGCGTCCTTCTCACTGCTCTTTAGATCTTCAGGTTGGAACATAAGTCATCTTACATGTATTGGCACCCAGTGGGAGCAAAGGTCATGTTCACCATATGATCTAGAACTTCATTACAAAGAACAAAACCTTTGACTTCAACTAATTACATATCCATTGTTTAAAAAGAAGTAACTTTCCAGGTTGGGGATTTGGCTCAGTGGTAGAGCACTTGCCTAGCAAGCGCAAGGCCCTGTGTTCGGTCCTCAGCTCTGGAAAAAAAGAAAAAGGAAAGAAGTAACTTTCAATAAAAGACAAAAAATTAAAAACTGAACTGTATAATTATAATTAAGTCCCAGGAAGAGAAAGAGGAAAAAATAATTCTTCAAAGATTTACATGTTTCAGCTTAAGATTCAGCATAAGTTTTCTGTTCCAACATACAAAGGAAAGAAAATTACATAAATTTCAGTGGTAGAAAGAAAATAAAAATGTAGTAAAGATTGTGTTTTCTTAAGTAAAAACCCTTCAACACAACAGAAAATGGTTTAGTGAAGGTCATTGTGTATATTTCATTTATTTATTTATTTATTTATTTATTTATTTATTTATTTATGCAACTTTAAAACCTCAAGAAAGTCTGGTATGGTGGGTGTGGTGGCACATGCCTTTAGTTGCAGCACTGGGGAGGCAGAGGCAGACGGATCTCTGTGGGTTCAAGGCCAGCTGGGGCTACAGGGAGACCCTGTCTCCAAAAAAAAAGGCAGAAAAACACAGCTTAGTGACCATAGTTGTATGTAGTATTTCCTTTTATTTAAGTTGCTTCTTAACTTAAGCAGGAGATTATTAAACTCAGCAAGCTGATGTTGTAAATCTTACTTTCTGTCGGGCTGTCCAAATTCTTTCTAGATCAAAGATTCGAGTGAAACTTTGCTTACAAATTTCTAGCAGTTAGTGAGTGTTCGTCATGAGAGAAGTCACTCCAGTTCTTTGATCAGAAGTTAATATAAAGTTTGTTGCCAGTTTATAAAGCTAAATCTTTGCCTGGAAAGGTTAAAAAAAAAAAAATCAAACACTAACGTGTCACAGAGGCAGGAAAACAAGACTAGATTCATTTTGTGAGACAGAAAAGAAATGCCAGCACCACATTGAGGAAGCGCTGCTCGGATGAATCTCCTCGTGCCTCCTGTTCGCGCAGTCTGCAGCTTGGTGGATTCGTGACAGTGGCATGTACTTCTATAACTGCCCTTCTGGGGTTTGTAAGATTCTCTGTCCAACCCCGTGACATCTTTCATGCTTCCTGAGGCACTCACCCTTTTCAGCACACTTTCAGGGCCTTTCATGTCTTATCATGTGGTGGAATGGGAAGTGGGGGGGGGGCATTCTACTGTGGTATTTCTTACATTCCGTAAAAGATTCACAAATAGAATATTTTTACACTCCTCAGGCATAACCTACATATTCATACTCTGATGAAAAGACATATTTTGAAGAATGTGATTTATATAGTTAAATTATTTTTATGGCTATATTGTCATTACTGTCATCACAAGCATATATAGGAAGAGAAGCTGAAGACAGGCTGGGGAGGTGGCCCAACAGGGTAAGGCTCTTGTGGCCAGGACTGAGGACCAGAGTTCAATCCTGGAACTCACGAGGTAGAAAGTGGGGATGAAGGACTAAGGAAGGGATTGAGGGAAAGGAGAGAAAAGTAGCTAAAGGAGGGGTTTAGGTAGGGGAGCAAAGACATGAATCTGAAATGACTGAGATGCAGAAACTGCCATCCCGTGTAGCTGAGAGTCAGGTCTGAAGAGGAGGTGCTTCTCAGCCTGGTTTCAGATTGTGTATACAGTGAAAAAGCTCAGAGGTAGCCTTGTAATACCTGCTCAAGAAAGTCTGCTGTGAGTCAAGTCAGTAATGCAACTGGATGTTATAGACACTGAGGTTTTGTGTATACGTGAGTCTTTTTGAGGCAGGGTTTCCCTGTAGCCCCAGCTGACCTGGAGATCGCTTGTAGACCAGGCTGGCCTCCTATCTGCCTGCCTCTGCCTCCCAAGTGGTAGGATTAAAGGTGTATGCCACCACACCTGGGTCTAGATTTTTATTTTATTTTATGTGTGTGAGTATTCTGCATGCATGTATATGTGTATGTGTACCCATTCATGAGTGCCCGCAGAGGCCAGAAGAGGGTGTTGGGTTCCCTGGAACTGGAGTTTCAGAGGGTGGTTAGTCACTGTGTGAGTGCTGGAAACCGAAACCAGGTCCTCTGCAAGAGCAGCCAGTACTCTTAGCTGCTGAGCCATCGCTCCAGTCCCCTATATATTTAACTTTTGACACCTCCCCAAAGGTATAATTTGTGAAAGGCCTTCTATCTAGTGATACTGTTAGTTATATTTATGTTGGGGAAAAAATGTTATTACCAATTCCAGATTAAGTGCCTTAGATTGTACACAGTAGCACTAAAATTGACTGTGTACATCATACATTTATATTGTAGTAGCCGTGTGTCATTAGCCAACTTTGATGGATGTTTGTCATTCAAGCTCAACTGTATTTATTCTGCATGTGTAAAGTTTTTATGAGTCATATCCAGAGTGCAGGCAAAGCTACAGAGCTAGTGAATAGTTTGCTTTGATCGCTGACATTTTATGATTTTGCTTTATTTTTGCTGCCTACAGCTGTTGGTTTTTACTGTAAGTATCTTGATGTTCTTCTGTCATATTTGTGCATAGCTTATTTTCAAAGAAGAAATCACATGATAGAGAACTCAGTGAAGTAGGAAGCAGAATTTTTCTTTCCACTTAAAGGTAGTACTGACATGTATCCTTTTAGTCATTGTATGAGAGTCAGGAGTATATATGCCATTCTATAATTGTGAAAAGTTTTTGAGGGGCTGGAAAGTTGATTCTATTTAAGAGCACTGGCTGCTTTTGCAGAGGGTTCAATTCCCAGCACTGATATGATGACTTAACAACCATCCACAACTCCAGTTCTATGGGATCTGACATCCTCTTCTGACCTCAGTGAGCAATACACGACACAGGTGCACTTACATATATGCAGGCAATGCATTCATACACATAAAAAATAAAAGTTTTTATAAAAGTTTTTTTTTTTTTTTAATTGTGTGGAGAGGGGCACACCTGTGCTAGGGCACACCTGTAGAGGTCAGAGGACAACTTGTAGGAAGAAGTTTTCTTCTTGCACCATGTGGGTCTCAGAGATGAAACTCAGATCATCAGGCTTAGTGGCAAATGCCTTTATCCTGAGCCATCTCACTGGCCCTTTTATGTATTAGTTTTTTATGTTCTCATCTAGCTTAAAGAATTTGTAGTATGGGGCCTGAGGATGTACTTCAGTTATTAAAGTGCCTGCACCTTTAACAGCTGACACAATGATGTACACCTGTTATTCCAGTTATTAAAGTGCCTGCTCCTTTAACAGCTGACACAATGATGTACACCTGTTATTCCAGCACTAAGAGTAGAAATAGGCAAATCAGAATTTAAGGTGATTCTCAGCTACATAGCAAGTTTGAGGCCAGCCTAGGCTAACTTTGAGACCCTAACTCAAGTGGAACAAACTAGGCCAGGTGTGGTAGCACAGCAATCGAGAAGCAGAGGCAGGTGGATCTCTGTGAGTTCAAGGTCATCCGGGGCTACGGGGAGACCCTGTCTCAAAAAGACAAAAATGTGGAACAAGCCGGGCGTGGTGGCGCAAGCCTTTAATCCTAGCACTCAGGAGGCAGGGGCAGCTGTATCTCTGTGAGTTCAAGGCCAACCTGGTCTACATAGTGAGTTCCAGGACAGCTGGGGCTACAGGGAGACTCTGTCTCAAAAAGACCAAAAAAAAAAGTGGAACAAATTAAGGTATGGCTGAAATAAATTTGAATCTGAATTTTTTTCAGTTTACATATAGAACTTTCTGCTTTTTCATTTAATAACACAAAGCTTATTTAATATAGCAGACTTAATTCTTTCTACATTCAAAGTCTTAATTGATTTTTGCTACTTTTGTTTCGGTTTTTAGTTTTTGAGACAGGGTCTCCCTATAGACCCAGCTGGCCTGGAATTCACAGAGGTCTATCTGTCATTGCCTCCAAAGTGCTGAGATTAAAGGCATATATCTTTTCATAAATTCCATTGAACAGAAAGTGTGTGTGCTGTTCCCATTACCAAAATGAGGTGTTACCTTCTACTTGCCCATTTTAGTCAAGAAAATACCTTAAATACTTTTCTGTGTCTGGGTATAGCATTCTTAAGTGATCAAATTCTTTGAACCAGTCTCATTTGTGGACATTTGCATATTGCTGTTTTTTTGTTCATGTCTTTACGTGTTTTATGTTTCCATTATCACATTATGAATTTTACCCAAAAAAATTATGAAAATTTTTCTCATTGTATAAGGGCCTGGAAAATATGTAAAATATTTACTATCTGGCCCTTTCTGTTAATAGCCCAAGTGTGGCAATTCTTGGCCAATTCTGTTATACCTTAATTCTTTGACTTGGTTTGCCTTGGTTTTATGACACTTGTCACTTTATGGATTGTCTTGTTACTACTTTTCTTGAACCCCTTTCTACTTTTTTGAATGTTAGTGATACCAGTGTCAGAGACTTACGTGTCTCCTTGATCACTTTATCTTTATCACCTAGAACACTGTGGATG